CCATTTTCAGTTCACTGTCGTGCTGCTGCAGTCTGTCGCTAGCATTGTGTTCCGCGCATTACTGTCAACTCTACTGTCGTCCTACTGTCGTTGGCAAATATAGGATAAAATTGAAGTTAGCGAGAACGACAACTGTCGGCCTGCCGTCGTGTAGTCGTGCAGCTGTCAAAATACGTCCGTCCATAAGAACGTGTGTATTTTAATATTTGACAGATATCGTTTGCAGTCTGTCGCGAGCATTGTATTCCACACATTAGTTACAAATATCTGTAACGCTATATTTTCAAATAGAAAGAATATAAAAATCATGTGGATGCCAGGCCATGCAGGAATCCGCGGAAATAAATTAGCCGACGGCATAGCGAAAGTTTGGAGCCCTTACATCTAAGCAACTACTTTGTGGACAAAGATTTACGCAAGCTTGTGCACAGCTTTCTACACGAAAGCTACTTAACTGAATGGAACAGCTATCAACACCACTATAAATCGCACAACCCTACAGTAATTAGACCATCACTTTCGTCAAATAAGTCAAAGCATAAGAAGATTCATACGTCTACGGATTTATCACACGTTAGCTACTCATGTACACTTATTAAAAGGATCAGTCAAGCCTATCTACAGCCCATCTTCTCGATAGCTGTCAGGAACTGGATACACTTAGAACTTCATTATTTGCAGAAACAAAACCATCTGACATGCTACGAAATGCAGATGACATGTCTATACAGAAAATTTGTGATTTCATACTAGCAGCTAAAACAAACTTATAGTCAATTTCAGTATATTAAATTTAGCATTCTAAGATATAAAATAATAATAATGGTTTAAGAGATGTGTACATGTGCCGTGATATTTCGGGGCCACACCTATTTTTGCTAAAATTTTATCACATGGGTGCTACTGCGATCCCCGGTGCAAAAGTACAGTTCTATATCCTAATTTATTTATTTAACAAATTAACGAAAATCGGCAATATACAACAGTTACTTTTAAGAAAAAGAAAAAAGAGAAAAAATATCATAATAAGGGCAATTGTATTACAGTGATCAAATTAATGGTATGGAAGGAGTTTGTCCTTTATATTATTGATGAATGAACTGAGGGAGCCTCCATAGAAATCGATGTTCTGGTGAAGTGAATTTACATGGTTAGCAATCCTGTTGTGAGGTCCATGGTAGACGTAGTTTTTCTGTGTCTTTGTTGTTTTAAGTTTCCGCGATTGTCTCAGCGAGAATGCCGTAGGAGCAAACTCAAAACTACCAAGAATGTCTGGAGCATTAATTAGGTTGTTAGCAACCTTAAAGTAAAAGACTAGGTCAGCGACTTGACAACGTGTAGCTAGGCTGTTGATTTTATTGCGTGAACGAATATCATCAGTGGAGAGTACCTGCGACCTCAAGGTTGTACGAAAGGATAGAGACTTACAGAATTTATTTTGGACCTTCTCCAGTCTGTTGATCGAGACATCCGTGTGAGGAGACCGTGCCGTACTCAAGTATGGGTAAAACTAGTTGGCGATATAGACATATCAATGTATAGGGATTGCGAAACTCTTTGCCTGTTCTCGTGATTAATCCAAGAACCTTGAAAGCTTGGAGTGTGAACTTGTCTATATGCTTCGAGTAAGTGAATTTGTTATCTATGATGATGCCCAGGTCTTTGATATCGGGAACTTCTTGCAGGTTGTGACCGTTTAGTTTATAACTGGTGACAATATTGCTTGTCAAGTTAAGGTCAAGTTTGTTATTAGTACACCAGGGCGTGAGTTTGTCAATATCATCGTGAAGCAGCTGGACATCTAACCCATTTTTGAGGGTCTGTAGATCTTGAGGTCATCTGCGTAAAGCAGATATTCTGACAGGAGATTTTTGCCAATATTACTGACAAAAATGTTAAAAAGCAGATCCCACCTATGGTGGGATCCCTGTGGCACTCCAGATGTAACCTTATATTCCTCAGACAAATATCCATCAACTCTAACTTGCAGGGATCTGTTTACCAGGTAGGAATATAACCAATCCAAGGCATTGCCGTCGACTTCGCAGACTTGTAGCTTAGAAACAAGAATTATGTGATTTACACGATCAAAGGCTTTGCTAAAGTCAGTATATGTGAAGTGAACCTTGAGACCATCATTCAAAGTGTTGAGTAGGAAATTAGTGTAAGAGAAAAGATTTGACGTGGTTGATCTGCCACCATGCTGTCTTGTCGCGATGATATCTTTAAAGGCAGCAGTAAATTGAGTGAGGACCAGCTTTTCAAATAGTTTTGCCAACGCTGATTGAATGCATATAGGCCGTAGTTGGAAATATCAGTTCTCTGGCCACTTTTAAAGATTGGACTGACATACGACAGCTTCCATGTGCTACGGAAGGTGCCAAGCTGCAAAGATCTATTGAATATGTAAGTGATAGGCTCATAGAGCACAGTAGCGCAGTTTCTAAGAAAAACATTTGGTATACCGTCAGGCCCAGCACCTTTGTTAGGGTTCAGCTTGAGTAATTGTTCGAGAACATCTTCACATTTGATTCCCAAATTATCGAGGTTAGTTCCTGGGTCATTAATCACTGTATTTTTGTAAATTCGATCATTATTGTTATCATCAGTGAATGTTGTTTTGAAGTATGAAGCAAACAGGTTACTGGAAATGGATGGAATGTTCATACTATTGTACTTCTTATCCTTGATGAACTTCCAGAACGCACTTGTGTCCGACTGAACCATGTTCTCTATTTCGTCAACATATTTTTTTTAGCATTCAATACTTAAAGTTTTGCAATCACGACTTAACATGCTGAAGCGAGCGTAATCTCGTTGATTATTAGAGTTCTTGTATTGTGAGTGAGCCGCACTTTTGAGCTTAATTCTGTTGATAAGCTCAAAAGAGAACCAATTACTGACATAATTCTTATGTACAGGCACATATAGGGTAATGCTTTCCTCTAACTTGTTGTAAAACCAAGCAATTTCATTGTCGATAGTGTCTGTTTCATACATTTCTATCCAGTTAACCTGGTGATAAAAAACGTTGAGATTATGATAATCGGCTTTCTTAAAGGAGTATGTAGTTGAACTCGGTGATGTAAGATTAGCTCGCAAATTGAGACTGATATAGAGAGCCGGATAATATTTGTCTCTTCAACAAATGGTAGGGTTCTATCAACACTAATTTCAATATTACTGTAACAGAGATCAAGAAAAGTTTTGCTTGTGTTGTTTACTCGAGTGCAATCAAGCAAAGCTAAACTATCTTGGATAATCCCTTCACAGTCCGCGCGGGGGACACTCCTAGGCAAATTGAAATCGCCTACAACTAAAAGTTTAGCATTTTTAAATTTATCACTTTTAAAAGAGAGCAGAGTGAGTAGATTAGTATAGGAATCAAAGTTTGAGAGAGGTGGCATGTAGACACAGCCAACAATGAAATCATGGGAAGTGCCTTTTACGTCGACGAAGACGAGCTCAAGGTTATGTTGATCAATTTGAATTGTTCAGCTTGAAGGTGGCGTTTGACTGCGATGAATACTCCACCACCTCGTTCTAGACCGGACAAAACTGGATCCCTATCGTGCCTAAAAATTTTGTAAGTGCTGTCGATTAGTTCGCCGTCGTGAATCGATGGGTGTAACCATGATTCAGTAATACAAATGAGGTCGATATTACTGACGGCAGACGCTGTGAAAAATTTATGTACTCGTGTTTTGATAGTACACTTGAAAAGCTTCGGGTTTCTTCCTTTTCACTGAGCGGGCGAATTTTGAATCCAGTTAACTTAGCAGATAA